GTAGAATTGTCATTTTCACAATGTTGAGTCTACCTATCCATGAGCATGGTATGTTTTTCCATTTATGTAGATCCCTTTGGGTTTCTTGCAAAAAAAAATTTTTTAAATTATGATTTAGGTGAAAGTTTACAGAGCAAGTTAGTTTCTCATTCAAAAATTTATACACAAATTGTTTCATGGCTTTGGCTGCAATCCCGCATTGTGTCAGCACTCTCCCCCTTTCCCTTTCCACCCTGGGTTCACTGTGTCCCTTCATCCAGTTTTCCTGTCCCCTCCCGCCTTCTTGTCTTTGTTCCTGGGCAAGTGTTGCCCACTTGATCTCATAAACTTGACTGATCTAAGAAGCACATTCCTCATGTGTGTGATTGTTTGTCTTATAGGCCTGTCTATTCTTCGACTGAAAGGTGAACTTCAGGAGTGGCTTCAAGTCTTAGTTAGAAGGGTGTGTGGGGGCCATAGTCTCCTGGGTTCCTTCAGCCTCTGTCAGACCTGTAAGTCTGGTCTTTTTTTGTGAATTTGATCATTTGTTCTACATTTTCTCCCACTCTGTCTGGGACCCTCTACTGTAATCCCAGTCAGAGTGGTCAGTAGTGGTAGCTGGGCACCATCTAGTTCTTCCGGTCTTGGGGTCGTGTAGGCTGTGGTTTATGTGGCCCATTAGTCGTTTGGACTAATTGCTCCCTTGGGTCTTTAGTATTTTTCCCTCTCCTTTGCTTCGGACTGTGTAAACTTTTACCAAAAACACAATAAAATATTTTTTAAAAAAGGTGCTCCCCAATCAAAAGTGCTCTCTTCAATCAAAAGAACCCAGCAGGAAGTTCAAGACATTGAAGCCAGATGTGTTAGGTCCTCTGGCGCATAATTCTGATTTCTCTGGGTCTTCTGGAAGGAGCTGTGATCAACTGTGCTGACAACACAGGAACCAAAAATCTGTATATCATCTCTTGGAGGGGGATAAAGGGATGTCTGAACAGTCTTCCCACTGCTGTGTGGGTGCCATGGTGACGGCCGCAGTCAAGAAAGGGAAACCAGAGCTCAGAAAGAAGGTACATCCAGCAGTGGTAATTAGACAATGAAGGTCATACTGGAGAAAAGACAATGTATTCCTTTATTCTGAAGACAATGTGGGGTCACAGTGAATAATAAAGGTGAGATGAAAGGTTCTATCATCACAGTACACGAGGCAAAGGAGTGTGCAGACTTGTGGCCCAGGATCGCACCCAGTGCTGGCAGCATTGCATGATTCTCCCGTGTATTTGTAAAAAACAAACTCCATTAAAAATTATTTGCTGGAAGAAAAAAAAAAGTACTCGGCAGAATAAAGAAATCCACACCCAGACACATAATGAAGCTGCAAAAGCTGCCAGAGTTAAAAACAGACCAACAGTTAGACTGACAACAGATCTCCCATCTGCAGCAAGAGATACGCAAAGACAGTGGAGATAAATCTTAGTAAAGGAAGAAATGTAGCTTGAAATTTATATTCAGTTAAGCTATTTTTCTGCTTCCAAAAGGTCACAGCCAGCCTTGAAAACCCTATGGAGTAGTTCTACTCTGCACACATCAAGAGTGAGAGCTAAAAAAAAAAAAAAAAAGCAAGAAAGACAAA